TCCTGCAATTTTTATTGGCTCCGAGCCTAATTTTTGTAGATCCTTAGCCCGGGATTTTCTTGACATAAGGGAATCCTCATAAACAGGGCTTAAACCAACTTCTACAGGGAGATCCCCAAAATTCCGAGTCGGAAGCTTCGGAACTATGGTCAGAAGGGCTGGAGTTGATCGATTTTGCCCCAAGATCACTAAAAATTTTACTAATAAAACAATACAGTAGTCGTTCATTAAGTAAAAAGTGCCTAGCTGATAATTTTACTATACTGTCGTCCCTCCATATAGTCACCTCCCATATAATCACATCATATGTAATCACATTTTTGTTTAGGCCAAACTATAATTTAATTTATAAGAAAAAAACCTCCATATAAGCACAATCTCTCTATAAGCACATTTTAAAAAAAAGTTACTATGTGCCCAACTGTGTGATTGTATGGGAGGACGACTGTAATTAGACCTTAAATTAAGATTTTTAAATATAAGTAATATAGCAAGTTAAAAAACCTACTATGTTACTAGGAATCGAAATTCGATATAAGTCCGGAGCATAATCCACGTGAGTGGACAGAAAATTACTTGATTTTTTAAATTTAATGTATCAAAACATAACTTTTGTATCACCAAGCGTAGAAATTGAGTCCATCGCTTCGCTCCGGACAATTCGCTCCGGACAATAATATATATATGATTTTTAATATCGTTCAATTTGTTATCAAACGAATCTAATAGTGCACTGGGTCACGAGATATTGATGTTTGACCATTGTATAAAGTTAAGAGAAATTTTGTATTATAACTTGTAGCCCATTGATTCAAATCGAATAATTTTTATACCATTTAATTGATAAGATGAATCGAAAGATGAGATATTGGTATTAGAATATTTTAATAACAATTTTTTTTTAATATACAGTATAACATTTGATTGCAATATCATGTAATCCAGTAATGAAATTAAAATATACCGATACTGATTCAATTTGGATCTATGGAATAGATTCACCAAATAATCGCCAACTTACCTTATAAAAAGGAGTAATATGTACTAAACCAAATTTAGCTGGTTTTTTTTTTACGTATAAATTTGGATTCATAAGTACAACATCTACAACTGCAGAAATGTAAAATACTTGGATATTAGACGATGCCCGGAAATACCGTTATTTAGATATATATATACAATTCATTGATCGTAAGTTCGATATTTATTCAAAATTTTATATTATAATTTATCATTGAATATAATATCAATTCGGTGAAATGATATTCCCTGAATAAATTATTCATCGGATCATATTTCTACAGGAGAAAGTTACCCTTTAGTGGCAATACTGGTTACACGACAATAGATATCCGAGGTTTAGGTTATCACCTGAACAAGAACCGATCTGAGGCGAAACAATAAAAATTTACCAGCCTATCAAATTATTACACGTTATAATAATTTTAATATCGGTATAAATTTCAACTAACAAAAGCGAAGTACAAGACTTTTTGTGTATGCATTTTTTTCGTATTATAAACCGAAACGTGTTAAAAGACAAAAGGTAAATCTTGTCCAAATTAGAGATCTCGAAGTCTAAATTAGGGATTGAACTGGACTACTGTTAATCAATATATATCATATAACGATAAATCCAACTTTTCAATATTGATAAATCGGTTTTGCCAGCTCGTGTGATAAAAAAAAAACCAACTATAAAGTGTTAAAGCACTCAAAAAAATTGTTTAAGCTGTTTATGTTTTTACTGAAAAAAAAAGGAAACTGTTACACAAGGGTGCTAAAAAACAAAAAAAAATAAAAAATTAATCCCTGACGAAAAACTTCATAACGAGAATCATGGACCAAGTTAGGCAGTATACCTCAAAAGCCGAAGATATTCTTAACACAATCTCTAATCCTCTGAAACCTCATATTCCTGCAATTGCTCGTTTTCTTATTGTGGTAACGTTTTTAGAGGACGCGCTGAGGATATTATTTCAGTGGAGTGATCAATTGTATTATCTTGAAAGAATTAGAGGAATGCCATGGGGTGTTTCACATATATTCTTGGCTGGTAATATCATTGTAAGTCTTAAATTTTACTTGATATTAAAACAATTGATAATTGGGTGTTTATAGTCTTATAGAAAAAAATTTTTGGTTTACCCATTTTAATAAATAATTCATCATTTGACGTAATTCTATCTTGATGTTGCCTCGAGTCAAAAAATTACTGATAAAATAAAACCATTCTTGTATTTTGTAGTTAATGTTTGGAGGTTCTTTCTTAGTTATCATAAGAAAATATGCAGAATATGCAGTCGGAAGTCTTTTTGTTGTTGTAGTCTCTCAGTCTATCGGATATGGCCTTTGGAACGAAGTTAATTTCTTATTAAGAAGTCTTTCCGTAATTGGTGGCTTATTAATGGTTCTCTCTGACGCGTTCTCCAAAAAGAAATCTTTCTTTGCAGATTTACCACAATTATCTGAGCGTGATCGTAAAACATATTTCCAACTTGCCGGTCGCGTTTTGTTGATCTTTTTATTCATAGGATTTATTTTCCATGGCGAATGGTCGGTTACTCGTTTAGCTGTTTCTTTAATTGGGTTCGCCGCTTGTATAATGGTGGTAGTTGGCTTTAAAGCCAAATGGTCGGCTACTTTTTTGGTTCTCTTCCTTTCAATCTTCAATTTATTTATTAACAATTTCTGGTCTGTTCATCATGCGAGCCCACAACGTGACTTTTTACAATACGATTTCTTTCAAACACTTAGTATTATGGGAGGGTTACTGTTATTAGTAAATATGGGACCTGGTGGAATTTCTATCGATGAGAAAAAGAAGGCCTTTTAAGATGTTTAATCAGCGGATAAATTTATTGGAATGTATACGAATAATACGAACTTGTATGTATTTTATATGTGTTTATTACTAGATTTATAATGTTTATATTATAGCATTAGCATGAACAATAAGATAATTTTATACTGTGATATTTAAAAAGTTGCCTGTTATAAGGATTAGGTTGCCGTTCTTTGTAATTTTACGTTAGCAACTTGGCATGCGAGATTTTTGTTTTTCTTTTTAATAAACTGTCAGAAAATTTTAAAATTTATCAAAATAAATATTTATTTTAGTGTATATACATAATTTGGCTTACAATTGATTTGTGTTATCTATATTATTCATTTTAGACATTGTCACGTATCATATCTTTTTTTTTAGTATGGTGTTTTATCATTACACAAATTTCCCTATTCTTGACAAGATTTTTATTAGAATCTCAACCGGGTGTGGTAAACCTTTTCAAAATGAATTTTTCTAATTTTTCTACTATCTTAATCGAAATTTTCCTTTTAAATTTGTAGTTTTGTACACCTAATTCAGAAAACAATCAAAAATATTATATCCGAATTAGGTGTACAAGAAGTTACAAACAACATACCAGATACAGTATAGTATTATAGTAAAATATAAATACAGTTACTATTGGAGTTTATATGTGAAGGATATATCTGTAGTCTTGAAGCCAAAATTTCATAGAAATGTAAAAATTATTAATTTTATTGATATAATTAAACAATTTATTCAAATATTGTCTTTCTTAGAAGTAATTTATTAATATTAAACAATCTATTCAATATTAAGTGTCTTATTACTAAGTAACTTTATTGGTCTGATAAATACTCTATATTGTATATACTGCAGTACTGTATACTACTGTATATAGTATACATATTCTAATAAACATTTATAATCAAAGCTGTTATAAATCTTTTATGCTGTAGACTCTGCCTAACTGTATATACAGTATATATAAAATATATACAGAGTATATAATAAATATATACCATACCATAGCATACAGTATATACAGTATATATACTGTTATATATATTTAAAAATAATTTAATGGCGTGGCTAATATACTGTATGTGTGATATGTAGATCTTTGCTTAGCAAAGTAGCACGTGTAGATTACTATTGTAGTTTATTTTTTAAAAGCAGAGTTGGCAATGAAGTTCACTAAAGATCCGAATGGACTACTATCCCGTTGAGTCTATTCTAAATTACATTGCTCTATTTGGGAATCTAGGTTGGCTATAAAGATTTTTATTAACAAAGCAAATAGAGCTGACGTTCTTAAAATATGCTTGGGGTAGAGAGTCTTAACCTATACCCAAAATAAATAAAATAACCATCACGTGCTAACTAAAATTAACAAACAGGGTAATAGCCTATACCCCGGGTATATTTTAAGGATTTTCGTGAAAATGATCGATCATTTTATTTACTTCATTGGGTTAATTATAGATATAGTTGATTTTCATTGGCTCCATTCATAAATCGTTTCCAATGGGAACAATGAATTAATGGCAATGGAGTTGTCCTCCATTCATTCCAATGAATAAACACGCCAGCCTTGTCATTAGCGTGAATATTAAAAAAGGGTATTTTAGTGCCTTATGATATATATGTTTAAGGAATTGATGGACCACCATACTTAAAACGCAGTAATAATAAATGTTCGTAATACGTAATTTACTTTGATTACGTTTTGATCGACGTAAATTAGCCAATCATACCTGATATGAATGTATTTATTGTTTCACTTAATTGAACCAATTATAACTAAATATAGATCTACCTTCTCTTAAAAACCGGTTTTCTTCTATATATTGTCCGTTACAAATCATTTTTACTCATCAATCATGGCGGCTTATCTCCCATCCGATTGTCTCTCAAACATCTTTTCATATTTCGATACAGATGCAAAATCATTATATTCCTCTCTTTTAGTAAATAGAACTTGGTGTTTAAATGTTGTTCCTGTATTGTGGAGAAGAACATTTTATTTGACTTCGCATAGTAATTTTTCATCAAAAAAGAGATGTCAATTGGTTGCGACTTATCTGACTTGCATGGCCGTCAATAAGATATCGAGCTCAATATTAGATGGAGTAATTCCCGATGTTACACCTATATCATCGACTGCGGTCGAAAAAATTTCAATATCAACTTTTGATTATGCTGAATTTTTGCGTGGATTTGATTATTATGACGTATATCAAGCCATTGGAAGTTGGTACGCATTTCAAACTTGTGATAAGAAACAATTGATAAAGTTTGATAAATTCTCAAAGAATGTAGGTGATAGTGAATGTTGTAAACTTATACTCACTCGAGAACTTGTTAAGTATATTGTCTGTCGTTCACCAACAATTGACTATCTAGCTTTGGATGCTGAACGGATAATTCCGTTTGATTATTGGTCATTTTCCCGTTTTCCTGGTGCTCGAAATTGTTTATCTTACATACGAACATTTGTATGTCGTGGAAGTGCAAGTAAACTAGACGTTTACACTTCACTTGCTCAATGGTGTAATAGCATTGAATCAATAACACTTTATGAAATTGGTGATGATGACCCTAAAGCTGAAGCATTATCAAATTTGATTCAAGGTCAGCGTAAGCTTTGTAAATTTATTTTATGGGGTGGAATGAGTAGTCAATTACCTCATATCATTAATTCCTTGGCTTTACAAGGCTTCGGGCTTAAATATCTGGAATTTCGTTTTTGTAATTTTGATCACTGCACACCTCTTGATACTCTCGCAATGTCATGTACAGAGATAACTACACTTAAATTTATTCAATGTGGTGACCTTAAAAGTGATATTACTCCAAATTTGTTGAATTCAATATTTCCAAATCTTGAGGTCTTGGACCTACAAGGAACACAAATCCCAACAGAAGCTTTGGAGACAATTTTCAAATGTGCAAATATTGATCTACGAAATATTAATATAGAAAAAACTGAAAGTATACATTCTCGAATAATAGAAAGTATAGCTAATAATTGTAAGAACGTTACAAAAATCAAAGCACGGTTAACGAAAGATAAAATGTCTCAGCTTACTAAACTATTTCAATCATGTATTAACCTTGAAAGTTTAACATTATACGGTCCTTTACCCGATCGGTTATACATCTTTACTCAAGATGCAAGTGATGATCTATTAATTAATTTTCGTAAAATTGTTCCTGCTACATTGAAAGAATTGGCGTTAAAAACAGATTGCGCTTTTACCGCATCGGCTATAGAAATATTTCTTAAAGATTGCCACGCGGATTTGAATAGATTGGAATTTATTTCCTATGGAAGCGTATGGCAGCATTTGAATGTTATTAAGAAATATGCAAAAAGGCGAGGATTGAAGATAAAAGAACAAGTTGCAGGAAATTATAATGAGTTATTGATGAGGGAATTAGGTCATATTATTGTAGAATTTGAAAATTTTGAATAATAGTTTTTTAAATATGTAAGCTTCAAATATGGGAGTTTATGGGCACAATTTATAAATATAAGCCCAAATATAGAAATTTTTGAACTTTAAAATTTGTTCGGATGGAATAATTTATTAATCGAGATGTGTGCAATGACTATTATAATTACAACTATTCAAAGCAATACAAAATTTAGTTCAAAATACTCAGTTAAGTATATATTAAATATTCTCATAGTTTTTGAACTTTATTCTAAAATTTGTGGTCAATAAACTCACTATCATCTTTATATAGCTCTTTAATTTTCTGCTTCCCTGAAGATTCATTGATAATGTAATTAGTAAATATTATATGTAAATAGATGTATATATTTAAATCAATGTTAGTCAAGGCAGTGGTCAACTATAAATTTGCCGGTCGTAATAAATTTATAATATATAGTCATATAGTAACTATATATATACTGTATATATATGAATTGACCAATTAAACTAGGCCGATTAAATTTACTGAACAAGATGACTATGATCGACCATGCCGTAACTAATTATAATACTTAGTTTTATCAATATCCATTATAATATTTTAATTTTTTCAATTTTTTCAATCATTTAATTTAATTCTGACTATCATAATTATTGTTTCACCGCGTTTAAAATTTTTAGAGCACGATATTTCGCGTTCTGTAAATCACATAACTAGTAAACTTTAACGGTGTAAAGCTCTTAACTTTACCAAAAAAATTAATTACATGAATTTTTTTTAAATAAATAAATTTTTTTTTTTGAAATAATTTAAATTTAACCAGAGGTGAAATTCACCAGCCTAAAAATTTTTAGAGTTAGGCTGCAGTTTTAAGATAAAGGATAAGTTTTATATAACATAATGTAGATTTGATATAAGGTTTCAATTTTAATTTTTATAAAGTTTTTGAGGATTCTGAACATTTTTACTTAAAATACCTAATTCTGTTTACTTAGTATGGTTTTAAAATATAGCACCCTGGTAAATTTCACCTCTAGTGAGTATTAAAATTATCTTTTTTTTTATTTTAAAATTTACTATTTAGTATATTTTTTTATTAGCTTTGAGTATATTCTTAATTTGTTGTAGCATTATGTTAATTAGCTTTAAAATATAATTGTTATCAATCTTATTTCACATCTTTTGTATTTTATTTTATAAATTTGGTTTACTAATAATATTACTAGGTTTGATCTATTGAATTATTATTTAAATATTTAATAAATATTTTTTTTTTAATTTTTTTTAAATTTCCTATAATATATAATCATATTTGGGATGCAGATAGTGAGTGCTTTTTTATTTCAATATCTTATTTTGTTACAAGAAATGATAAATTATACACTTTTTAATATTATATACATCATCTGTGAAGCTACTTCTTTAGGTGTTCTCTAACCCTTTAGTGCTATGTTAGAGTGTTCAAAACTTAGAGTTATATATAATAATCATTAATTTTAGATTATTTAAAGAATTATTTTATATATAAATTTGTATTAATTTAGATATATTTTTTTATACAACCAACAAACAAAATTGTATATGTTTTTTTTTAAAACTGTAGTTCTAGACTAGCTTTACACTGTAATAGAACTGGTTTTTTAATAACTTTTAATAAAATTTTAAATTAATTTTTATTAATAATTAATATAGATTATTAAAAAACTGGTTCTATTACAGTGTAAAACAGTTTAGAGCTATAGTTTAAAAAAAAAATATAGTATATTTTGTTTGTTAGTTGTGTAAAAAAATATATCTAAATTAGTACAAATTCATATATAAATTTATAGGTAAAATAATCCTTTAAAAAATTTGAACTTAATAATCCTAACTATGTTTTAATTGGTGATCCACTAGTCAACCAGAGAATGATCATAGTAAAAAGTGACTCAGATTACTATATAAATTTACTATAGTGCAAATGTGGTGTGTACGCATCTAAAACTTTTTTTATACTAAGTTAATCACCTTTCTAACTTAAGAGACTTTTGTAGAGCTTGTCAAGACACATCTAATGGTGGTTAGAGCGTCAAAATCAGCTTGGTGGATGCCAAGATATCTTTAAAAAACATTTTTTTTACTATGAAAACTTCTTTGCAAAGAAGTTTTTATAGTAAAAGAAACGTTTTTTAAAGGTATCTTGGCATCCACCAAGCCGATTTTGACGCTATTACCACCATTAGATGCGCCTTGACAAGCTCTACAAAAGTCTCTTAAATTAGAAAAGTGATTAACTTAGTATAAAAAAAAGTTTTAGATGTGCACACGCTACATTTAGAGACCTTTTATAAGTAATTTGAGTCACATTTTACTATAATCATTCTCTGGTTGACTGGTGGATTACCAATTAATTAGTTTATTGAACACTTTAGTACCATGTGCAAATAAGTCTACTACTTTTATAATATCCTTGGTTTTTGACCTCATGGTGTAGAACTCTGACTTTGCAGTAGTCTGCAGTTCTTTATCAATATAGCCTTATTAATTTTTTGTTTTATTTTATATTATTAGTTATTGTAATTTTTTCTAATTCTATACTTAGACTCTGTATACTTTTTATTTATTACTTGCCTAACAACAAACCCTCTTTGCATCTGTGTTTCAGAATTTGGTCTTCTCACTACTTTCTATATACTCTTTATATTTACCAATACTAGTATTTCTAATGAACCTGAGTTCAAAGTTTATAAAGTTTAAAATAAAGAAAAAAGCATATAATTACAAATATAAAAATATTTATATTTCATGATCTACTAGGCCAATTTTAGTATTTTAATTACTATTCTGTTCCCAAAACACTTTTCTACAACTTTACTTAAGTGTTGAAAAAGGTTTATTTAGTAAAGAAAAAACTTTTCATTAAGAAACTCCAAATTTAAAAACTTTCTATTATAATAAAATTTTTGAATTTCAACTAAAACATTTTTCTTTACTAAGTAAACCTTTTTATTTAACTTTTAATAAAGGTTATAGAAGAGTATCTTGCAATCAAAATGGTAATTAAAACATTAAAATCAGCTTGATAGATCACGAGATATAAGTATTTTTATCTTTGCAATTATATGCTTTCTTTTTTATTTTTAATAAAAATAAAGAAAAAAGCATATAAGGATGTTCTATAGAATAAATGGGCAAACTCTGCAAACTCCACAACTTTACTAAATATCTATTAATAATTACTAATCATTAGCAGAGTTTATTTTTTATATTGCCTACCTATTAAACTCTTCCTGATGATCACTTGTACCAAATTTTCTCACTAAACAAAAACAAAAATTTTGTTGGAAAAGAAAAAGGCACTATGAAGATAGTTCTTGTAAAAGTCAACTGCACTACTTGAGAACTCTTTTATATATTTGGTATGCAAACCAAAAGTATTGGTATACAAAATAACTAGCAGGTGGTACTTTTGTATACAAAATTTTGAAGAAAGTGGTGCTCTGAAAAAAGTGAGGCCATGTTGTTGACAAAGTTAAACATAGACAACATAGTAGAAGGAAAACAATAAATGAGTATTTTAAGACATTTTTTTAGAAAATTTAAAGTACCTGATCTCAAAAACTACTTTATCATATTCCTACTGGGTTTTTTGATATTTGTCTCAAAATTTTTTCCAAAATTTGGGAATTTTGATATACTCCTACAAAGGATTGACATTGTTTACATAACTAAATTAAAAATGGTAAGTCATAAAGAAGTCACATTCTATATACACAAATTATAGTAAATGACACATAGCGGATTTGTAGAGTAAATAACAAAAATTCATATTTTTTACAAAGTAAAAACTATTTTAATATAGAAGTAAAGCGAAGGTGGAGATTGTTTTACAGAGTATTAAATAATTTTTTATTGCTATACACAGATGCAACAATTAGAAGTTTGTTCTTTTAAAAATAGTGTATTTATGTCGGATTATATTTAAGTTTTTGTAGTACTTCTCCTTTTTTTTTTTTTTACTTTCTTTTTTTTTTAGTTTAGTTTTTTTGTATACTTGTTGTTCTTTAGACAAGGATTATAGAATTCTCTTGCTTGGATATTAAGAAGAGAAGGGTCTTAAGAAAATTAGCAGTCATGACATGCTTGTAGATACTATTCAGCAATCTATTTATTTTCTTTAATAGTAAAAGAGATGAGTAAAAAGATAAATTTTTACTATAGCAAGTTGAATATAGATATACATTTGATATAACCAGATTAGTCAAAACTAGAAAGTTAGATGACTGAAGCAATTGTTTTGGTAAAATTAGTTGATAGTATAGTTTGTTAATTTATACCTAATAAAGTTTTAGCATAACTGCCAAATTTAAAAATATATATATATATATATATATATATTTTTTTTTTTAATATTGAGGTGACCACTTAGGCCCCTGGCACTTTATTAGCTCAAACGGGTGGGCCGTCTGAAGACTGGCTTACATATTACATCAGTATAATGAGAGTACAACTAGTCACACATACAACTTTTGGTTACCTATTTAAGTAGTCCGCCCGAAGCGTTAGTGCTATGCTAAGGGTTCTACACTAGCTGTCAT